CCAGGACCCAGGACCCAGGACCCAGGACCCAGGACCCAGCACCCAGGACCCAGGACCCAGGACCCAGGACCCAGGACCCAGGACCCAGGACCCAGGACCCAGGACCCAGGACCCAGGACCCAGGACCCAGGACCCAGGACCCAGGACCCAGGACCCAGGACCCAGGACCCAGGATTCAGGATTTTATTAGTTGGAAACTTTGCTCTAGGAAGAAGAGGAGAGCGCAGAGAAATCTAGCTTCTCTGGGTCTCCCACACCTCCTCGATGCCATAAAAATCGCTAAAAAAGAAGTAAAAATCTGGAGGTATGGGGAATCGAACCCCAGACTTCTCGCATGCAAAGCGAGCGCTCTACCCCTGAGCTATACCCCCACACCCTCTGCTTCGAAGTGAATGGCGGTTATAAATAGGGAGGAAAATGGAAAATTTAGGAAGTGTCGTAACTTTGGAAGGAGAAGAGATGCTGAAAAAATTTCAACAAATGATTTATTGGAAATTTTATGCTGAGCAATCTTATAGTTAACCACTTTTCAGTAGCTAACTTGGTTTTTGATATATAAGCGCTGGAAGATAGCTATAGTTAGTGGGCCGTGTTCGCCTAGGGGATGCGCCCTAACTTAAAAGGCGCATATCTCTAAAACTACTGTGGCCATTGAAAATTTGTAAACTAGAAAAAATTGCAAAATTTTATGAGCTACTTTTTTTTCGCCATTATTCAATAGTTTCTAGTTTGTTGATGCTTCAACAGCTCACCAGTTTTTACGATTCCGATTTTATGACTTTGGTGTTTTCGCGAAGTTTTGCAAACCTTTCGGATGGTATAAAAGAAGTTGGGACACTTCTGAAATTTCAGTTTCCGGAAAAAATGAAATTTCCGGCTATTTTCATTGCGATTTTCGCTATTTTCGGAATGGCTGAGGTAAGCTTTTTAAAAGACCCCGAAAATAATGAAACTATGTTTATTTCTAATGCTTTTACTGAATTAATCAAGTGGAGAGCGTCAAAATGAGCCTAAACACGCCTAGGCTCCGCCCACTTTGAATTTTCAGGCGCGTCGCGGTCATGCGTCGCGTGTCTAGTGGAATTTTCAAAATGGACGGAGCCTAGTCGTGTTTAGGCTCAATTTGAAGCATTTTTCATGACAATTTCAAATTTTTTGTTTTTGAAACTAAAAAAAATTAAACTCAAAGAAAAAAAACTAAATTTTAAAATGTTCAAATTTCAGGCCAATTACGGCGGCGGTGGTGGCGGCATCGTTATAGGTCATAGAGCTGCGGGCTCCAAAGACTTTGTTTTTGTGAGTTAATTACTGTGTTTTTGTGAATTAACTTTCAAAAAAATAGCAAAAATTTCAGCAAACCTTCGAGAATGCACCCCGCGACGCCCTTAAACGAAGACCAACTCGACCAAGATTAACTCCTCTTCCAAAAAATTAAATTTTGAGCGATTTCGAATTATTTTTGGGTGTTTTAAATGATAAATTTGGATTTCTCATAACTTGTAAAGTATTTTATCATTAGGAGTTTTTCGTCTAGGAGCTTCTCTGGGAGCCGAGATACGGTCGGAAATACTTTAACAGTGCATATCTCAAAAACTAAAATGGGCAGAAAAAAGTTGTCAATATTGCTCAAAATAAAATTTAGACATGTTTTTAGTTGACAACTTTATGATAGCTAATGTAGTTCGTGAGTTATGCGCCTTTAAAGTTTAGCGAAGGAGCTTGCGTTTTTTTCTGAAAGCGCTAGCTATTTTCAAGGTGAATATCTCGAAAATCATGAAAATTAGCTGAAAACTGTTAATTTCAAATATGCTCAGCATGAACTTTGCTACATTTTTGTAGTGGACTGTTTTTTGATAGCTTTTGTAGTTTTGGAGATATAGGCCTTTGAAGATAAGTGATCCCTCACACAGTAGTGCTCATCCCGCCCACCTGGCCAAGCTCCGCCCCTTTTTGTAACGGGCCCATGAAAGTGACATGTTGTTTCCATACTAATTCATCAACCGAGTTCTGCCAAATTTTGAAAAAAAAGTTTTTTTTAAAAAAAATACAAAATTCTGAATTTCAATTTTGGACCATAACGTGTTTCAAAATGGTCTGGTTGTTTCAAAACTGATATTTTTGAGTTTTTGAGTTTATTCGCTTAAAAATGAGCCCAAACACGACCTAAAACCGTCAATTTTGATTTTCCGCACAAACACGCGACGCACGACCGCGACGCACCCGAAATTTCAAAGTTCTCATAATCGGGTCGTGTTTATGCTCATTTTAAAGCTCACAACGTGACAAATTCAAATTTTTCGATTGATAGTCGGAATTCCCTTCCTCCTCTTCAATTTTGTCGTAAAAATGCATATTTAACTCGTTTTTTTTTCACAGTAAAAAGTTTCATTTAAAGGTGGGGGGACAGGAGATTTTTTGTAGTTTTTTTGTAGCTAGAGTATGCATTCTACCGTGACGGTGTACAACGCTTAATGTCACTCTGCGTACAGCAGTCGTCCTCGCCTTTATGTATGCAAACGGGCGTGCGTTTTCTCTTTGCCCGTGTAGCTCAGTCGGTAGCGGCGCCGCACCTTCAATACTTGTCTCGACAAGTTCAACACCTCGAGGGGCATCTTTGAACGGAATTTCGAGAACATTATTTTTTTCATGTCCCCCCACCTTTAAAAAAAGTCAATTCAAAATGCCTCCACCGGTTTTTGAAATCGATATAATCTCAATGCCAATTACAGTAACCAGTATGCCTCCATACATTTGTAAAATGTTTCGTGCCCCTTGAATATCCTTAAAAAACAGAATCGACCAGAAACTGACAATTATTCCTGGGGCCTTCGATAAAATTGGATAGACAATTATTTGATCCAAATTCTGACAAGCCGTGAAAAATGAAATCATCCCCGCTCCATAGATAATTCCAGAAATTATAGATGGCTTCGAGAGTTCCGGATTGACACGTGGCACATTCTTCATAAAACTACAGTAACCCAAAAAGATTACTGTAAATGTGGCAAACGATCCGATACAGTAGGACAAGAAGTACGAACGAACGTCTTGACTAGCTCCAGGATCATTGCTCATAATGTAGCTGATTGGGGAGTAGAAGTTGCCGTAGAGAAATCCGACAAAAGCGGTGAGGAGGAGGCAACTGGAATGAACTCAGATTATCTAAAAAACTAAATTAGCTAGAAAAAAGTTGTGAACAGCAAAATTGCTCAGCATAAAATTTTATACAATTTTGTAGTTTTAAGTTTTTCAATAGCTACCGTAGTTCTCGAGATATGCGCCTTTAAACATCAGCTAAGGAGAGGCTCCCGCAAAGTTTAAATGCTCATATCTCGAGAACTACTGTAGCTATCAAAAAATAGAAAATTTCAAAAATGTTTAAAATGTTATGCTGAGCAATTTTGTAGTTATAAACTTTTTTATAGCTACTGTAGTTTTGAAGTTATGCGCCTTTAAAGAGACTACCAAGAATACCATATCTCAGGGAGGCGCATATCTCAAGAACTACTTAAGCTATCAAAAAGTTGAAAACTACAAAAATGTGTAAAATGTTATGCTGAGCAATATGGTAGTAAAAAATTCTTGCTGAAAACTGTAGTTTTCGAGTTATGCGTCATTGAAGAGACTACCAAGAAAACAGCGCGGAGTGTAGATTCCCGCAAAGTTCAAAGGCGCATATATCGTGAACTACAGTAGCTATCAAAAAAAGGAAAACTACAAAAATATGGGAAATTTCATGATGAGTAATTTTGTAGTTGACTACTGTTGTCTAGCTACTGCAGTTCTTGAGATATGCGTCTTTAAATAAAGCTTCTCACCCAATTTTCTTGGTTTTCGGCACATTCTCCTTTTCCTTTTTCTGATTTCCGTCTTCTATTGTCCATGGTGCTGGTCGAGTTTTCAAAGGGACATGGTCCACGAAACAAAGCAATGCGCCTCTGAAAAATTTATTTTTCAGCTCAATTGCTCATCCTTAAAACCTACCCAATACATATTACAAAAACCCCTGCGAAATTCCAAAATCCATATTTTGGAATTTGTTGTTTATTGTAGAACCATCCGTATCTTGTCACAGCCCACCCTACAACACAAGCACCCGTATTCCAGAGAAGGTACCCAACGGCCACGCCCACTCCGTCCATAATGTGGACCGTCAGAGAGTTTCCTGGAATTTTTTAGGACATTTTATCAGTTGGAGTTTTGGTTCTTGCTTTTTTGGGAGCCGAGATATACTTTATAGGGCTAGAGAGCACGAGAGCGCATAGAAATCTAGCTTCTCTGCGTCTCCCACACCTCCCCAGTATCTCACAAACCACTAAAAAAGAAGTAAAAATGTGGAGGTATGGGGAATCGAACCCCAGACTTCTCGCATGCAAAGCGAGCGCTCTACCCCTGAGCTATACCCCCACACCCTCTGCTTCGAAGTGAATGGCGGTTATAAATGGGGAGGAAATTGGGAAATTTTGGGAGCGTCGTAACTTTGGAAGGAGAAGAGATGCTGAAAAAATTTCAACAAATGATTTATTGGAAATTTTATGCTGAGCAATTTTGTAGTAGACAACTTTTTTGTGGCTAACTTGGTTTTTGAGATATAGGCGATGGAAGATAGCTATAGTTAGTTGGCCGTGTTCGTCTAAGGGATGCGCGGGAACTTTAAAGGCGCATAACTTCAAGACTACTGAAGCTTTCAAAACTCGTGTTTTTTGTAAGTGATTGTATATCACAAGAAAACCCATAAAAGTTCCTTTAAAACTGGATATTTTTCATTTTTCCAGATCAACGTGGAAAAAAGTTATGTACCTTTAAACCTAGGAAACGCTCAAGAATGGTTGCGTCTCTTTAAAAGCGCATATCTAAAGAACTACGGTAGCTGTCAAAAAATTATTATTTCAAAAATGTGTAAAATTTTATGCTAAGTAATTTTTTAGTTAACAGTTTTTTATTAAGTATTTTAGTTTTTGAGATATGCGCATTTAAACAAAGGGTACCTCGCCGACAAGCAACAAAGGAGCTCTCCACTTTAAAGACGCATAACTCTAAAAGCAAGCTAGCTACAAAAAAGTAATCAACTCAAAAATTGCTCAGCATAAAATTAGCTATCGATTGATGCTACTTACCAATAGAATAAAACATTCCATTGAGCATAGCGATGGGAATAACTGGGCTAGGAGTTAGAAAAAACGAACTAATGACACCAAACAGTAGTTGTCCCGTAGATTGGACCCATTGAAAATACAATCCATCGATAAACTTTAAAGGCGCATAGGTGGAGCCAAGACAAAGCGCTGAAACTGTAGCATAGAATATTCCAGTGCTAGTTTGACCGTCCATTTGGGAATAAGGGGGGAATTTTTGAAGAAAAATATTCCGATGAATGGAAAAAAGATGGGAAAGGAAAGGTATTTATATTGACAGAAACAATTAGACAATAAAGAAAAAAGCGTCATTTTTTTCAGTGTGTTTTGTTCTCTGAAATTCCTTTTTTCCTAGGTTTTTGTCGAAAAAATTTTCAGGAAAAGTTGATTTTTGATGTTTGAAATTTCCAAATTAGGATATCTCGAAAACCATGAAAGCTAGCAAAAAACTGCCAACTACAACATTGCTCAGCATGAAATTTAATACATTTTAGTAGTTTACAACTTTTTGATTGCTACCGTAGTTTTCGAGATGTGCGCCTTTAAGGTTAGGGGAAACGCAGAGAGGCGAGAGCGGCGTGCCTTACAGTTCATGTTTAAAGGCGCATATCTCCAAAACTACAGTAGCTACCAAAAAGTTGTAAATTACAAAAATGTGTGAAATTTTGTGCTGAGCAATTTTGTAGTAGACAACTTTCTGATAGGTACAGTAGTTTTTGAGATATCTCAAATTTACTTTTCCGACTCTCAAGATTAGTGAATTTTGCGAATTGTAGTTTTTCAGAGAATTCTGATTTTGCTATATTGCTCATAACTTGTTATTCATCTTGAAAAAAATTTCATAATGTATTTGAGAAAAAAAATTCAGAAAAACAATTTTTTTTTGAAATTTTCTTTCTTGACGTCTTCAAAGAATTCAGAAGACACAAAATGAGTGAATGAAAAAAGTAATTTAAATGTCTTCCTGGAATTAAATAGAAGGAGTTTAGTACGTTTTTTTGCAAAAAAAATTGTTTTGGAAAAAAGTTTCAAATTCGTTTTTTCTGCATTTTTTCCGAAAATTCCAAAAAAAGTACTTTTTTAAATGTTTTTCTGTCTTTTTTTGGTCTTTTCACGTTTTCCAACTTGGTGAATTTGGTTTCATTGAATTTGTCTTGAAAATAGCTTCAAAATAAGCCTAAACACGACTAGGCTCCGCCGACTTTGATTTTTCAGACGCGTCGCGTGTCTAGTGGAAATTTCAAAATAGGCGCAGCCTAGCCGTGTTTAGGCTCATTTTAAAGCTGATGAGCTCAAAAGTTCGAAAATTAAAGTTTCAAATCACTTGGGTCATTTTTTAAACGGTTTGGAGCATTTACATTTTTTCAACTTCCGATTTTTTGCATATAGAGAAATTAATTAATCAAATAATTAATTTTAAAAAAAAGACCAGTTGCTTTTCCAATGATTTATTAAAAAATATTATGATGTATTTTTATGGTTATTGGTCCACAGGGACCAACTTTTGACGGATACTTGATTGACAGGTGTAATTAATTGTCCATATACATGCAAAAAAAAAGGGGAAAACTGATATTTTGTATTTTTTGGAGAAACTTCCGGAATTCTGAAAATATTTCCTTTTTTTTTGGTTTTTAGAATAATTGGAAATTTTGGATTTTTGGAATTTCTAGGATTTTTCGGACTTTTTGAACTTTTTGAATTTTAAAGTTTTTTTTTCAGAACTTCGATTTTCTTAATTTTTGAAACTTGTATTTTTTGTTCCAGACGTCTAAAGTCTCTTTCTTTCTGTTCAAGTATCGAATTTCTAGAAATTTTAGAGTCATTTCCGGATCTTAGCCCTCCATAAACCTCAAAAAACTAGAAATAACAACATCAAATTGTAATATGATACTTCTTATTTTTGTTCCAAAATATCTTGTACAGATTTTTATTTATTTATTGGGTTTCTGCCTAAAAAATCTTTAAATGTCTACTTCTAAACACATTTTTTTGGTGCTTTGAAGTAGCCTAAAAGGTTGAAAATTACGATTTTTGAATTTTTGAGATCACTAGCTTCAAAATGAGTCCAAACACGATACAAATCCTTCAACTTCAATTTTCACCCAAAAACCGCGACGCACGACCGCGACGCATCTGAAAAACCAAAGTGGGCGGAGCCTAGTCGTGTTTAGGCTCATTTTGAAGCTCTTCAGATCAAAAAGTTGAATAACGTATTGAAAATTGGTTTAGGAGGATTTTAGAGGCACAAAATCTAAATTCAACATTTTAAGTTTTTTGAACATAAAATTTGTATTGGGCCTAAAACGCGTCAATAATGACCCAAATGATTAAAAACCATGTCTTCCAAATTTTTGAAAATACTAGCTTCAAAATGAGCCCAAACGCGACTAGGCTCCGCCCACTTTGAAGTTTCACCTAGACACGCGACGCACAGCCGCGATGCGCCCGAAATTTCAAAGTTAAGCAAACCTAGGCTTGTTTAAGCTCATTTCAAAGCTCTTAACTTGCCGATATAGAATTTTGAATGCAAAAATCAAAATGGGCAATTTCAGAGCTCCACAATGAGCCGGAACACGATCGAATTTCTAAATTTTCAAAAAAAAGTTGTTTTTTTTCTCGAAAATAGTTATTTCTAGGGGTTGGCACATAGAAATCAAAGTTTAGAGGTTTTGAGCTTTAACAAGACCCTAAACACAACTAGGCTCCGCCCACTTTGAATATTCACCAAAACACGCGACGCACGACCGCGACGCGTCCGAAAAATCAAAATGGGCGGAGCCTAGTCGTGTTTAGGCTCATTTTGTAGTTCTTGACCTTCTGAATTGAATAAATAATCTGACAAGCCATTAAGCAACAATTTTTAGGTATTCCCATTCCTACTAACCGAGACACTTTCGCCCCTTTCAACCAAGTTCAAAGCAGCTGAAAATTGAAATTTCCCGATCTCTGCAATTCGAAGTTTTGTACAAAAACCGAAAACTTTAGTTTAGTATTTCCAGTTCCTGGTCTAGACTCTAGACCAAAAAAAATTTTTTAAGAAAAAACAATTTTTTTTCTCAGTTTGCTTAGACCAATCTCTCCGACGCATTTCACTTGTTTTAATTACTTCTTCTATGCGCCTTTAAATGAGAAAATTCCCAGCGAAAATCTTGGTTTCTGGTCCCCTATGAGCCATTCCACTTCCCGTTTCTGTGGTCCATGGCAATCCACGTCATGCATCTCCAGCTACACAGTCAACATTTTTTTTTCCTTTTTTTTTCTCATCAGAAATTCATAATAACGATGTTGCAGCATCCTTTTATAATGAGCTTCATAGCGCCAGCTTCATGTTTCTTGTTGTGTTCAGTAAGCTCATTCGAAAATGAGCTCTTTTTTGGCTTATAACTTGAAAAATCATTTTTTGAAGACTAATTTTGATAAGGAATTTGAATTTGTAAGATCTGGAGCTTCAAAATGAGCCCAAACATGAATAGAATATGGCTTCACATTGAAATATTAGGTTATTTCGAGAAGTCCAAAATTGACCAATTCTAGTCATGTTTGGGCTCATTTTGAAGTTCTCAACTTGCCAAATTATAATTTTTAAGTATGACATTCAGATTGAGCGTCTATGGAGCTTTAAAATAAGCCCAAACACGACTAGTTTCGCTTGAAATCAAAAATTTGAAAAGTTCTGAATTTTTGAAATTTTTGATTTTAAACAAACCTAGGCATGTTTGGGCTTATTTTGAAGCTTTCAACATGCCAAATTTTAATTTCAAATTTTGAATTCAAAATAAACGTTTTTGGAGCTTCAAAATGAGCCTAAACACTAGCTGAAATGGTTCATTCAAGTGGTTTTTGAGTTTAGATAGATTTTTCTTAAAAATAATCCTAAAATGGCCAAACCTCGGCATATTTATGCTCATTTTGAAGCTTTTGATCTGAACTTTTCGAAATTTTAACTAAATATTCGACTTTTTCAGGTTCAGAGCTTCAAAATGAACCTAAACAAAATCTAAAATAGTTAGGTTGAGACATTTTGGAGTTTTGAATTTTTTTTTTTCGAATTCTCAAAATCGAGCCAACCTAGGCATGTTTGGGCTCATTTTGAAGCTCTCAACTTGCCGAATTTGATTTACAAATTAAAAATTCATGTTTGTGAGGTTCATAGCTTTGAAATAAGCCTAAATACGACTAGGTTTGCTTGAAATCCAAAATTTCGGTTCAATTTTGAAAACTTCCGAATTTTCTTAAAAATTTTGATTTAAACCAAATCTAGCCGTGCTTAGGCTCATTTGGAAGCTCGCAATATGACGAATTTTAATTTCAAAATGTGAATTTTGAATAAAACGCATTTAGAGCTTCAAAATGAGCCCAAACATGACCCTAATCTGTCAACTTTTGAGTTTCTCGATAATTTGAAGAAAACATTGGAATTTAGTTAATCTGGGCATGTTTGGGCTTATTTTGAAGCTCAAGACTTGCCAAATTTAATTTTTAAATGTGAAATTAAAAATGAGCGCTTCTAGAGCTTCAAAATGAGCCCAAACATGCCCCCAATTTATCAATTTTGATTTCTTCGAAAATTTGAAGAAAACATTGGAATTTAGTTAATTTGGGCATGTTTGGGCTTATTTTGAAGCTCAGGATTTGCCAAATTTAATTTTTAAATGTAAAATTGGAAATGAGCGCTTCTAGAGCTTCAAAATGAGCCCAAACATGTCCCCAATTTATCAATTTTGATTTCTTCGATAATTTCAGAAAATATTGGAATTTACTGAATTTGGTCATGTCTGGGCTTATTTTGAAGCTCAGAAACGTACAGATTTGAATGTTCGAAGCAGAACTCTAAATTTTGAGGTGTTTAGCTTCAAAATGAGCCAAAAGACCCTTTAAGAAAAGTTCCAAATTTTTTCTACAAAAATAGATTTTTGGACTTTCTAGGAGTTTCCTAGAAATCCAAAAATCTCATTTTTCTCTCCGTTTTCTATACACTTTTCTAGGTTTAATGAGAGCGAAGAAGGGTCCCCTTATTAGTATAGAAAAATGAGCAATGGGAGCATTTCCTAAAAAGGGGAAAACAAAAAAAAATAATTGCTCATCTTTCTTTCTTTTCTTCCGCTTTTAGGTTTTTGTAGTTTTCAAAATTGCTGTAGAAGTATAACGTCATTAGAGGAGTACGTACACTAGACTATTTAAGGAACTCTAGTGAGAACTTTTTTGAACTTTTGAATTTGATTTTTAAAAACTCCAAAATTCGAAAATTCTAAAAAAATGTTTTTCTCTCCGGAACTTTAAAAAACTTTTTATGACTCATAAAATGTGTTTTTTTGAAAAATAAAAAATAGGGATAATAAAAAATGCATTTCACATCGAGCTCCCGTTTTTTTGTTTTTTTTTTTTACAAAAAAAAAATATTTAGCTCAGCTTAAGATTAATAGCAAATTCTAGAAAACTTCAGAAATTTTCAAAAAAAAAAGGTTTTTTCTTGAAAATTCTGGAAAACAATATGAATTTCTGAATTTCCTGGAATTTCTGAATTTCTGAATTTTTGGATTTTTGGATTTCTGAATTTCTGAATTTCTGAATTTCTGAATTTTTGGATTTTTGGATTTCTGAATTTCTGAATTTCTGAATTTCTGAATTTCTGAATTTCTGAATTTCTGAATTTTTGGATTTTTGGATTTCTGAATTTCTGAATTTCTGAATTTCTGAATTTCTGAATTTATGAATTTCTGAATTTCTGAATTTCTGAATTTCCTGGAATTTCTGAATTTCTGAATTTCTGAATTTCTGAATTTCTGAATTTCTAAATTTCTTTTCTCATTATTTTCTATTCATCTACATTTGTTTGTCTATCCTTTCTTTCTCATTTATTCATCCGACCTTTACCCTTTTTCCTACTCATTTTCTCACAAAAAAAAACGAGGAAACTTCTATTTTTTTAGTACATAGAACAAAAATTTCCATTCGCAATTTTTTGAAATTTTTCAGATTTTTTTGGAGTAATCATTTTTGACCTTTCTGGACCACTTAGTGATTTTCAAAACAGTCTGTAGTTAACGATGAGCAATCAGTACTTCTGGTCATTATGATATCTTTCTTTAAAAGGATTACTGTACCTTTTTTTTAAATGAGCAACCAACAAATTTCGAAATTCTTTTTTAGTTAGTTTTGGTCCATTTTGTGCTGTTTTGGGACGTTTCATGGACACTTTGGGCACACAAAGGTTTACTGTAGCTAAAGATGAGCAATCGGTTATTCAAGAATTCCCTGGAATTTCTGAATTTCTGAATTTCTGAAAAGCAATCGGTTATTCGGTTATTCAAAATAGTTTCAGCCAATTTCTGACAATTTTAGATTTTTTCAAAAACTATTTTTCCTCAAAAATTTCGAAAAAAAAAGTTATATTTTTAGAGTGTTACCCGGAAAAGTAGTAATAATACAGAATAATAAAAAGCTAATTTTATTAATTCTTTCCTAGAAATAAAAATAACCAACAAATATTTTTTTCCAGCAAATTTTAGGAAAAAATTTTTTAAAGATTTGGCTGAAAATCGGAATTTCAGAATTTCAGAATTTTAGAATTTCAGAATTTTAGAATTTTAGAATTTTAGAATTTTAGAATTTTAGAATTTTAGAATTTTAGAATTTTAGAATTTTAGAATTTTAGAATTTTAGAATTTTAGAATTTTAGAATATTAGAGTTTCAGAATTTCAGAATTTCAGAATTTTAGAATTTTAGGATTTTGAATT